ATATCATTAACTTTGAAACCAACGCACAGTTTGTCGAAAGGCATCGCCCAGTAACTTGGCATCTTGGTTTCGTAGTTATCAAAACCGGTTTGACCGGCTGCCATGTYGTAGGATTCCTTATTGGACCAGAAAGATGACTTATACTCAAAAGTATCCTGATACAAGAAAACTATGTAAACGTTTCGCAAAGTCAATAGAGAGTTTTAGATTCACGTTTACTGCAAACGCCGAACGTCATATTGGCTATGCTTTGTCTCAAAATTTCAGTAAAACGTAAAAACGATTCGAAAGGAATTGTGATGCGATTATGCACGAAAAAGTAATCTATTTTATACACAATCGCGAAAGAACGGTCGGGAGCGTTAATACAGAAAAACAGTGATCACGTGATCAGTTTTGACGTTTGGCATTCGCCGTAAACACGTATCTAAAACTCTCTAATTATGATAACGACAGTACGTGAATACAAACAAGCAGAGCAACAATTCTTATTACAGGTAAAGGATGGCCAAAATGGATGATTAGCGAGCTCAACAATCATACTGGCGCCGTTGTCCAGCATATAACACTTTAGGAATCATGTTTTTGAGAGCTTCTATTTTACACAACATATTGCTGAATTCGAAATAATACCTTTGAGCCATCAATCTTCATGGCCAGCGTCCATCCCCCACCTTGACATATGTCATCAGTCAAATGGCAGTAGATTCTGGTGAGTTTGTTATCAACCTTTATTGTGTAGCCCTTGTTTTCTCGAACGCTACAAAATCAGAGAAAAACCTCTAGTGAAGTTTCAGTAAACTAGTAGACAAAAGTGTGATTTAATTTTGTCTCTGAATCTTTAATTAGGTATAATCTTTGATATCAAGTCAAACAAAACCAGCAAATTGAAAAACAACACATAACAAACAAACCTTAGTAAGCGTGCGATATCTTGACACGATGAAATTCCGTTATTCTATGGATTGAAGCAATGTGAAAATCAGTTATCAGAATCAGATGAACACGGGAACAATTCAGTGCACCAAGAGAGTCAAGTTGATTTGAACCATATTGAAGAGAGTTTACAAAAACTTTAAATTCCATTCCACAATTCGTATTTCCAAACAATGACTTTATAATATCTACCTTCAATGCCCTATAGACTGCATTGGGCGTGTACACCAGGTCTTCAGGGTGTATGATGTGGTCTGAGTCGCTAAGGTTACAKATTCGTTGTTGTTCATCAAAGTTGTACGAGATACAGTCATCGTCCAGGAAACAATAGAACTGACAACCWTCATCATCGATGACTGACTGCAGGGTTTTATAGGTATGGTTGACCAGGGCTTTACCTTGGACTATGTCTGAGAATATCTTTTCTTGATTACATGCGTGCATAGCTGGAAGTAAATGAAACTTTTTTAAAATAGGAAAATAAAAGAAATAGATCACATCCTTTAAAACAGTGGAAATGTAGACTTATATAACACCTAAGTAAACTAGCATACAATAGATTAAAGGTATTTCTGTCCAAACTGAAAGTATGGAAGACGATTCTCGCAGCTCATTTTAAGAAATCCTACGAATCTGCCACGCTAAAATGGCGCTTCGGCTCGCAAGGTATGCAGCTTTTGGTTGTGATTCCGTTTAATATTTTTCAAATATAAACAAAAATTCAATTTTAGGCCTTGCCGGTGGACCGTGGCCCTTCTACCACACGTTCATTTAAGTCACAAAGCAATATATACAGACTAATTCGTATGCATTTCAGTCCGTTAAAGGAACTCCCCGGTCAGAAGGATAGCCGCTCATATGGTAAATATTTTTTATACTCTGAATTCCTGATTAATAGCTCGTATTTTGCGAACTTCGCCAAAGGACAAATTTGTTTTTCAATTGCGCCTTCTTCAAAAGGGGATCGAGGAACGGCGAAAAAAAACCACTGTACTACTTAATGTGTACACTTAGCAGATATACTCCATTGCTTTGCCTGAGAAGTTTACCAATTCAAACTATTCCTCTCCAAGAATCATTGCCTTGAAATTTAACTACGTTCATTTCATAGAAAAAAATTCCGTACACTGTCTTTCGAAAGCGAGTTTCCTTTTAGAGCTATCGAAATAAAAGAAAACTATGAATGAAAATTAACTTTTGCAGTTTATTAATTAGTGCTTGAATGCTTAAAAGCTTTGTGTTTTGTTTTTAGTAATTCTCTCTCTTTCCTCAATTGTAGCAAAAACAACGAAATACATGACCTGAAATTTCTACTACGGTCGAGATAAAAAAATAAGTCAAGTTAAACTGTTGGTACGGCATGTTTTTCTCGCTAAATTGACACATTTTCATTATAAATATTTGTTGACTGAACTCACGCAAATTTCTTAGCAACAGGCTTTACTAACTATTGAAAATACATAAATTTTTATGACTTACCAACAGCTGATTTAAGGAAAAGATGAAGCAGTAGCACATGAAGGATGTTTTTGTCCAAGTAATTGYTTTTCATCACATAACACTGTCAGATTAGGCAAGTTTCGATGTTTCTGTGTCAAATCCCGATTCCAAAAATGACTTTGAAGAAGTAACTGGAATTCTGCTTGCTGCTGTGATCCGTTTCGGTTATTAATTATAAACAATGTGATATAGCCACAACACGTTAGAAGCGAAAACTTTCGAAATAACACTAATAAAATTTCTAATTATCACTGTTGGGAGAACGTCTCTCACTGTACATAATTCATGATTGCTTTACGTAACAAAAATTACAAAACTGACCGACGAACAAAAATAAAAGTAGTGAGAATTAGAATAATAATAATAATAAAGATGAGAAGGATAGAATAAGAATTTTTAGTTATTTAAGTTCGGTTTAGAGTGCACGCCGGGCACGTGTTTCACACATATGGAACTTATGGGGGACAAATAGTCCGTGATCACTCAAGCTTGACCTGACAGTCCGTATGAAGTGCCAAATTTGACGAAAAAAGGCCAGATTTCAAGGCTTTTTGAAGAAATGCGGCGACATTAAAAACAATCGTAAAAACCTAGCACCGGATTTAAGAAATAAAATCTATATGCGACCTTTCTGGGTATTTTTCATGAGAAAATTCGAAAATCCAATCACGTATTTTTGCCCTTGAAGAGTTGAAGTTGAGCATTAAAATAGTATGGCGATCCATGTTTTCACCACAGTTCGCTCCAAAAAACTGGGCCTCGCGTATAACTTATTTTGTTAATAAAAAACCTAGCACCGGATTTAAGAAATAAAATGTATGTGTGACATTGCTGTGTATTTTTCGTGAGAAAATTTAAAAATCAAATCACGTATTTTCGCCTTTGAAGAGTTGGCGTTGCTTCGCATCCGTTTGCGTTTCGGGATTCCTGTCCCGACGATGAACGGATGCAAAGGAGACTACTTCTGTAGGCACAAGCAACAAAAATCAAACTTGAATTTTTCAAATTATTGCTTTCTTATTATATGTTGAAAATGTACTCAAAACTATGCAGTTTTGTGTTAATTCAATATTTGAAAAATTTATATCAGTCAGTGAACGTAACTGTGATATTATATGTACATGTACTTTCCTTTCTAGAGGTGACTTTGCTATTANTCTGTGTCAAATCCCGATTCCAAAAATGACTTTGAAGAAGTAACTGGAATTCTGCTTGCTGCTGTGATCCGTTTCGGTTATTAATTATAAACAATGTGATATAGCCACAACACGTTAGAAGCGAAAACTTTCGAAATAACACTAATAAAATTTCTAATTATCACTGTTGGGAGAACGTCTCTCACTGTACATAATTCATGATTGCTTTACGTAACAAAAATTACAAAACTGACCGACGAACAAAAATAAAAGTAGTGAGAATTAGAATAATAATAATAATAAAGATGAGAAGGATAGAATAAGAATTTTTAGTTATTTAAGTTCGGTTTAGAGTGTTTCACACATATGGAACTTATGGGGGACAAATAGTCCGTGATCACTCAAGCTTGACCTGACAGTCCGTATGAAGTGCCAAATTTGACGAAAAAAGGCCAGATTTCAAGGCTTTTTGAAGAAATGCGGCGACATTAAAAACAATCGTAAAAACCTAGCACCGGATTTAAGAAATAAAATCTATATGCGACCTTTCTGGGTATTTTTCATGAGAAAATTCGAAAATCCAATCACGTATTTTTGCCCTTGAAGAGTTGAAGTTGAGCATTAAAATAGTATGGCGATCCATGTTTTCACCACAGTTCGCTCCAAAAAACTGGGCCTCGCGCATAACTTATTTAGTTAATAAAAAACCTAGCACCGGATTTAAGAAATAAAATGTATGTGTGACATTGCTGTGTATTTTTCGTGAGAAAATTTAAAAATCAAATCACGTATTTTCGCCTTTGAAGAGTTGGCGTTGCTTCGCATCCGTTTGCGTTTCGGGATTCCTGTCCCGACGATGAACGGATGCAAAGGAGACTACTTCTGTAGGCACAAGCAACAAAAATCAAACTTGAATTTTTCAAATTATTGCTTTCTTATTATATGTTGAAAATGTACTCAAAACTATGCAGTTTTGTGTTAATTCAATATTTGAAAAATTTATATCAGTCAGTGAACGTAACTGTGATATTATATGTACATGTACTTTCCTTTCTAGAGGTGACTGTGCTATTAATAGTATTTAATGGTCAGATGATGATGTTAATGAGGTCGATCGACGACAAAATATTAATTAACGCCATTGTATTATATTTCATGAAGTAAATAAATAAATTACATGCATATATTCGTGGGTTGCATGTGACGTCATACTCAAGCAAAAAATATCGAAAAATCCAAGATATTTTTTCTAAAGAGCTCTTCTTACAGTATATCTTAAATATACGTCTAAATAGTGTGTATGCAAATTTTCATACGAATTCAACGCTTTGGTGGCGAAACACAAAAGTTTTAGTTTG